TAACTGTTTTTCAGTGTTTGAACCATTTTTGCATAGACTAAAGTACAAAGCAGTGCGTGAAATTTTTAACTGTTTTCCAATGTTTGAACTATTTTTGCATAGACTAAAGAACAAAGCACTGGTGTGTGAAATTTTTAACTATTTTCCAATGTTTGAACTATTTTTGCATAGACTAAAGTACAAAGCATGAAAATCATTAATAGGCAATCGTTCGATGGGCCGAATTGCACAAAACGCATTATCGCACCGGCTAGTCTGTTGAAATTTTTAACTGTTTTCCAATGTTTGAACTATTTTTGCATAGACTAAAGCACAAAGCAGTGAACTGGTGCATGAAATTTTTAACTATTTTTCAATGTTTGAACTATTTTTGCATAGACTAAAGTACAAAGCAGTGAAAAGTTTTTAACTGTTTTTCAATGTTTGAACTATTTTTGCATAGACTAAAGTACAAGGAAGTGAAATCTTTAACTGTTTTTCAATGTTTGAACTATTTTTGCATAGACTAAAGTACAAAGCAGTGAAAATCATTTTCTTAACTGTTTTTCAATGTTTGAACTATTTTTGCATAGACTAAAGTACAAGGAAGTAAAAATCATTACGTCTGGTTTTCAATGTTTGAACTATTTTTGCATAGACTAAAGTACAAAGCAGTGAAAATCATTAACAGGCAAATATCGTTTCGATGAGCTGAATTGCACAAAACGCATGATCGCACCGGCTAGTCTGGTGCGCGTTGCCATTTATTATTATGAAGTATTGTAAGAAGATAAAAATGGAAAGTGAATAAAATAAATTAAAATCTGAATGGGAATGTTTCGATCCATCAAGTTGCATCCATAGTTTATGCACCCATTTACGCCTTGACTTTGCATATAAACGTGTCCCACTACGGCCTCACTTTTTTTCTACCCCTTCAACTTCGTTACCAGTTTTGAAAGCAACCGTTAAAAGGGCAACTACTAAAACTCGGCTTGGTTTCTCGGCCGTTAACCTAGCTTCTCTGCTAACGTTATTTCGCGGCAAAGCACACTGACGCCACTTGGCATTTTGCCAGGAGTGCAGGGAATACATTCCAAAGCACTACGATGGAAAAACATGGTTGGAGAGAGTGAGGAAGAGGAAAAAGGAGTAGTGGACTTTCCTATTTATGAAACTATTGCTTAGGTAAACCTGAGCACTTTCAGCTTTACCTAAGCAGTTTTATCTCATTTGCTTTCAGTTTTATCTAAGCATCAGCTTCATAATCGGGGAAGTCCTTACTAAAAACAGGTATTTGTTTTGCTTGAAGCTTATCTCCGGTATGGGGATTCCGTATTTATAAAGTTGTTGCTTAGGCAAAGCTGAGAGCTGTCAGCTTTACCCAAGCATGAGGAAGTCCCCTATTAATGACGGGGTTTTTCGCTTGCTTTTACTTTTTTTCTTGCTTTAGGTCCACTTTTTGATTTCGATTATGTTCCTGCACCCAGGCTCGCTTTATTTATTATGCGTTTTGTGCTGTGTAACAGCAGTACAAAACGCATATTGTTACGGGGTTGTCT